AAGCGGGACACCCCCTCCACGGAGAGAGGGGCTGGACCTTTTACCTGGCCTCCCAGTGCCGCCTGATAGCCTCGTTTTTCCCAATTGTGTAAACCCTTCGACCTTATTTCCTAAGGAACACGAACTCCGCTAGAAGTTGCTTAATAGCAGAAAACCCCACCTTTGTACACTTAGCAAAACACTGCTGGGCTTCCTGGGGTGTCCTCATTTCCTGAGCCTCCTCCTCAGCTCCCCAGGGTGCCCTTGGCTGTTCTTCTTTTTCTCCCCGCCCACCCCTTGGTCGTATTTGCGACCGAGGGCCCGGGCCCGTAGCTTTCAACAGGAGGCTGTGAACCTTGGACCAATGTTGCGGTTTTGAGTCTCTGTGCTGTCTCCTTTGAGACTTTATTCAGGAATCTTCGAAAATGACAACGCATTTAGCAGCCAGAGGTGTCTGGTACTCAAGGAGGAAGCGAACCCAGGCGATAAGTGACGACAAAACAACACACCGTCCATATTTGGGTTCTGAGAGGAGGTCTGGGCTATTTCGCAGCCACACTCGCTGGGGCAAACCTCCCCGAAGCTTCCCGTCAGCAGCTGCCTGGGCAGGTGGCTGGAGCGAGGGAGCGGGCTTGGAGTCACGTGTTAGCTGGGAAGAAAACTACCTAAGGGCAACTGAGGTTTGTTGGCATCCATACTCATTCTGTGGCAGACAGTGTGGGGTTCATGCCAACTGCCTTTCCTGCAGTGGTTCTCAACCTTCTGGCCCTTTAAATACAGTTCCTCATGTTGTGACCCAACCATAAAATTATTTTCGTTGCTATTTCATAACTGTAATGTTGCTACTGTTATGAATCGTAATGTAAATATCTGATATGCAGGATGGTCTTAGGCGACCCCTGTGAAAGGGTCGTTCGACCGCCAAAGGGGTCGAGACCCACAGGTTGAGAACCGCTGGATTAGAGATTTGCCTAAAATAATGGGAAGGGGAAATCAGGTGACGGGCAGAGGTGCAGGAATCGGAAGGGGCATCTGTGGTATGCCAGGTTATTTATTTAATCCCAGCAGCCTCTCCAGAAAGCTGATCCTGTCATCTTTTTAAGGATGAACAAACCTCGGCTCAGATCAGGCAAACAACTTGCCGAGGTCCCACAGGGATTAGGTGGCAGAGTCAGGACCCAACCCCACCGGGTCAGACTTCAAAGCTGCCCTTTCCTGGCCCCCGGTAAGTAAGTGACAGCTTAGGTACTTCAGAGGCTGTGTTTTTTGAGCAACTTTATGGGCCTGACAGCCATGCACCGCCACAGGTGTGAGCTTTCGGTGCCCAGAATGAAACAGCCGGTCCTTCCCTTGACGGGGGAAATAAGACCCTCTGTCTCTATCCAGTTGAATTTGAATTTCAGATCAACAGTGAGTAATTTTTAAAAAAATATATTTTATTGATTTTTTACAGAGAGGAAGAGAGAGACAGAGAGCTAGAAACATCGATGAGAGAGAAACATCGATCAGCTGCCTCCTGCACATCCCCAACTGGGGATGTGCTCACAACCAAGGCACACGCCCTTAACCGGAATCAAACCCGGGACCCTTGAGTCCGCAGGCCAACGCTCTATCCACTGAGCCAAACCGGTCAGGGCAACAGTGAGTAATTTTTTAGCGTAAGTATGTTCCGGGCAATAGTTGGGACCTACTGACAAAATATTCATGATCCGAAGTTAAAAATTAGCTAGGCGTTCTGTGCTCTTGTTGTTAAGTCTGGCCGCCCTACGGAGGGCAGCTGTCGATTCCTCGTTCACGGGCCACTTAGATGTTCTGAGATCAGGGCCCCGAGGGAGCTGGGAAATGCCCCCCCCGGTGCCCCAGCACTCCCTCCCCACTTCTTCATTGGCCCATTGCCTGCTTGTGCCCCGGCAGAGTGGGCAGTGGTGCCAGATGAGAAGAAATAGGCGCCCCAGGCCCTTTGCACAAAGGACAGGCCCTAACTTGAGCTCTATCATGAGGCAGGTCTGCGCTGGAGGAATGACATTGAGACAAGCTGAGAAAGGACTAGACTTGGGTTCATGAGCCCCTGTTGAAAGAGGCCCTTGGGAAGGGGCAGGGGATCGTGTCGAATTAGGGTTAAGAATTCAGGACAGCTGGTATCAAGGGCTGACTACCTGGTAGGCACTGTGTTCAGTGTTTCATAAACCTCTCCACCTCCCTGTACCGCTAGATCCACACAGCAACCCTATGAAACAGGCATGTTGGCCCTAATATACAGAACAGCAAGCAGCAGTTCTGAGAGGGCAGGTGACTTGCCCACGCTCACACAGCTTCTGCGTCATGGAGCCAGGATCTGACCCACATATTTGGCTCCACACAGTTAGCCAGGGCAGGTCCTGTGCTGGAGGAATGACATTGAGACGAGCTGAGAAAGGACTAGACTTGGGTTCATGGGCCCCTGTTGAAAGAGGCCCTTGGGAAGGGATAGGGGATCGAGTCGAATTAGGGTTAAGAATTCAGGACAGCTGGGTATCAAGGGCTGACTACCTGGTAGGCACTGTGTTCAGGGTTTCATAAACCTCTCCACCTCCCTGTACCACTAGATCCACACAGCAACCCTATGAAACAGGCATGTTGGCCCTAATATACAGAACAGCAAGCAGCAGTTCTGAGAGGGCAGGTGACTTGCCCACGCTCACACAGCTTCTGCGTCATGGAGCCAGGATCTGACCCACATATTTGGCTCCACACAGTTAGCCACTGCCTGGTTCTGTCTCCCCTCGAGGGCAGCCCTGAGGGGTGTCCCTGAGCCTCAGCCACCTCAGGGATCTCACTACCTCATGTAACAGGTCGTGTTGGCACGGGACTGATAGGAATATATTCCATATGTTGATCTGTATGTTGATCTGAGGTCTGTCCACATCTGTCTGGGAAGTTCTCCACCCCCATTCCAGCCCCCACGGGCTCTAGCGGCGAACAAAGGGTCCAAGTCCAGGTCCTCATAACTCCTTGGTTTCCCCTTTGCCTTCCCTCCTCCAGGCTGAACCTGCTTTCCACCCGCCCTTCCCTTGCTCTTCCAGGTCCTGACAGTGTCGCACCGGCCTTGGGGCCAAACCTGCACTCAAGGCCAGGCTTTGCTGCTTACTAGTCGCGTGGCCTTGAGCAGGTTTCTTAACCTCTCCCGAGGATCCGTTTCCTCGCTGTAAAAAGAGGACAAAAATAAACCCTATCTTCTAGGGCGATAAGAGGAGGATCCAGGGGTCCAGGAGGGGGTGGGGCGTTCTATTTTTATTGGCATAAAAACTCGGAACGGATAAACCAGGTCTGAGATTTGCATCTGGGCTGTCTTGTTTATGAGTGTTATGTTCTGGTCCAGTTCACGTCACCTCTCACAGCCTCGGTTTCTTCCTAACTGAAACAGGATTCATACTCTCCCCCACGTAGTTGCGAGGATGCCACGGGCCAAGGGTCCGGGGCAGGGTGGACACGCGGTAGGCACCTCCTCCTCAGGAGCGGGAGTTGCTCTTGTCAACGCTGTTGCGGATGCCTGTCCCACACGGTACCTCTGCTTATTAAACGGGTACCTCCCGGGACCCTCCTGATGCCTGGCTCTGCGGTGGAGGCACCCCCACAGGACATATGGGTGATGGGCATTGCCTCCATTTCACAGCCACCAAGGGACCTGGTGCCTGGACCAGAACCCTGGTCTCTTATTCCTAACCCAGCATCCCACACCCCCGCCCTGCTACCTGGGTTCTTTGACCCTCTCTTGCCCGGTCTTCTGACACATCTGGAAACGGGCTGGGCCAACGCCCTCGGCTGAGCACTGTGTGAAAAGTCTCCCACTCTGAAGGAGAGTTCGGGTCTTCCCTTCCTCTTGCCCAGCCAGGAGCGGTCTGGCTGCCCAGGCACACCCTCAGGCCCCGGCGCCCTCCCGCCCCGCCCCCCGTGGCCGCACCTGAGCATCCCAGGTGGCCCCTCTTTACCGGAGACCTCCCCCAGAGCCTGCGGACAGTTCTTTGGCGCTGAGATGAGTCACTGTTCTCCAGGGGAACCGTGGGGAAGGGCAGGGCCGGTCTGGCCGGGTTTCTTATGGAGCTTTCCTGGACAGAGGCCTGGGGGTGTGCCCACCCATTACAAAGCTGGGAAAACTGAGGGAGGGGAGGCTTGCTCTTCGGTGGGTTTCTTTTCCCAGGGGCTTAAGAGAAGTGATCGGGTCGCGTTAAGTTCCTTAAATATTTATGAGACGAGCGATGTCACACGGAACGGGCCGGATGTCTTTTGAGGATCTGCAGTATTTCCAGGGCATGCCCTTTGCTTCCCAAGAGAGATGGCCTCGTTTTACACCTCAGCCAGGTTCTCACTCGTCTTGCAGGCCCCTCCGACTCTAGGAAAAGCCTTTAAGCCACACGCTTCCCTGCGGATCCGCGGCCCTCCGGTCTCAGCCTTTCCTCTCGCCAGAAAGCCGGGCTCTGCAGGGCCCTTTGGTGCAGACCTGGGTGCGCACAGCGGGGGTGTCGGAGCCAGAGCACTGGGAGAGGAAACGGGTTCTGAGACAGAAATCCATGGTGGGAAGGGTCGGGTGTTGGTTCTCAGGCTGAGGTGGTGCTGTGACTCCCCTGTGCCTCTTTCCTCTGCGCCGCCTCTTAGTCTGGAAGGCAGATGCCAGGACCGCTGTGGCTGGGCACAGTGTGGCCTTGGGCAGATCTCTCTCCTCTGTGGGCAGGGATTCCTGCAGAACAGAGGGGACAGTGGCTGGCTCTGAGGATAGAGATCAGAATCCACCCCCACCCCCAGGGTCAGCCCTGCCCAACCCCCAGCTGACGTCCCTTCCTAACTCTCCTCTTATCTTCTACTCCAGGCACAGTGGCTTCTTCTCAGTTCCCTTTCTATGACCAGCAGTGGAGGCCAGCTCCAGTCAAGGGGGCTGTTCCTTTAAGGACATAGGGGGCAATAGAAAAGGGTGGAATATGACAAAAGAGCCAGAGGGTTTTTTCCCCTGAGCGTAAAGCATACCAAGGAGCCTGCCTTGGCTTCCTCGTGTGGAATGGAATCCACACTCCAAGGCCCTCAAGGCCCCTGCCCCCCCCCCCCCCGCGCCCCCCCCCCCCCCCCCCCCGTGGGAGACACGGCACCCCAGCTCCAGAGTCCCAAGAAATCAGCCTCTTTGAGCGCCTTGCCACCACCCTGGCCATTCCCGTCAAGGTCTCCTCCATTCCAGGGCAGATTCCTGCTTCCCCAAAGGAGCCTCCAGCCTTTGGAAGCAGGAAGAGGGGCAGGGGTCAGCAGCCCCAAGGGAATGGGGCGGAGTGAGGGGGCAGTGTCCCCCGCCTGGCCTGGCCTGGCCTTCCTCCTCCTCCTCCACCAGTTCACTCGCCATGGCAGACATCGGTGTAGCCCTCTTCGGTGCCAGGCAGTGGCTCCACAAGCATCCCCACCCCCTGCTCCCCATGGTGGTCACATTCACAGATCTCCCCCCCCTCCCCCTTTTTGTGCCACAGCTGATCATCCTGGTTCACTGGCTGCTGACGACCTGGTAAGTGACTCCGCAGGTGTGTCCGCCTGTCTCCTGGGATATGGGCCCACATGTCTCCTGTGTCCCCAGCCAGTTCCAAGACTAAATAGCACCTTTGTCAAGAAGATCGGCAGCAAGCCGCCCCCGTCCCAGGGATGGGGGAGGGGCAGGCAGTCCCCCGAGGCCTTGGCCATCGCGGCCTCCTAGGAGCTCCGAGCCCTCATCCAGGGTAGCGAGGTCAAATGCAGATTTCTCAGCCACACTCCTCTAGCTTCGGAGCTGGTGAGCCTGGGCTTCGTTCGGCCCCGGCACTTGCTCTCTTAAAACCCCAGGATGAGTGACTGACTCCAGGACTGTGGAGCCTCGTTGCATTCTACACTGAACTGCTTGGATGAGTTTTCTGGCTGGTGCACTTTAGGGACGGTTGTTTAGTGGATGGAGCGCCTCACTGCACGCTGGGGCAGTCGAGGTCCAGTGAAAATGGCAAATAAGAGCATGGCCCCTGGCTCGGCTGGTGTGGCTCAGTGGTTGAGCGTCGACCTAAGGACCAGGAGGTCACGGTTCGATTCCCGGTCGGGGCACATGCCCAGGCTCCATCCCCAGTAGGGGGCGTGCGGGAGGCAGCCGATCAATGATTCTCTCTCATCATTGATGTTTCTATCTCTTTCTCCTCCCTTCCTCTCTGAAATCAATAAAAATATTTTTTTTTTTAAAAAGAGCATGGCCTCTGGACCCAGATTGCCTGGGTTCAAATCCCAGCGCCGCCACTTAGCAGCTGTGGGATCTCGGGCAGGTTACTTGACCTCTCTGAGCCTCAGCTTCCTCACCTGTAAAATGAGGATAATGATAGTGCCTCCTTCCCTGAGTTAACACAAATGCACATAAACGAGTTCATTTAAAGCATGTAGAAATGTGCCAGATACTAGTAAGGGCTCTGTGGTAATTAGTATTTTCATTGGGTTGACAATAAGTAAACATCAGTTAGTAGCAATACCCTAAGAAATAAAACAGGGTGGGCATTGTTCCAGTGGTTCTCAACCTTCCTAATGCCATGACCCTTGAATACAGTTCCTCATGTTGTGGTGACCCCCAACCATGAAATTATTTTCGTTGCTACTTCATAACTGTAATTTTGCTACTGTTATGAATCGTAATATAAATATCTGATATGCAGGATATATTTTCAGGGGTCGCAACCCACAGGTTGAGAATTAAATTAGACAGTGACGAGGTGGCATTTAAAATTGGGCGGTCAGGGAAGGAGTCTTGGTGAACATTTGAGCTGAGTCTGAAATGACAAAAAGGGGCCAGGTGTTCAGGGTAGAGGTAGGCACAGGTGTCACCAGTGGCTCCCACTGGGCCCCTTAGGCCATGAGAGAGCCTCTTATTTCAAGTGGGGCAGAAAACTGGTAGGACTTGGAGTGGAGGAGATATCACCAGATGAACTTTACTGGTTGCTATTTAGAGAATGGCCCGGAGGGGGCAGGAGTGGAAGGAAGCAGGCAGGCTGGTACGACCTGGCAGGAGAGGATGGTGGTTTGGGCCCGAAGGGATCCATTTGGGAAGCAGAGCCGTTTGACGTTCCTGGATTTGTTGACGTTCCTGGCTCACAGCTGGGGCACAAGAGGCCTGGCCGACTGTGGCCTCTTCTCAGAGGCTCCCTGAGACCCTGGCGCTCCAGGGAGGTAGCCTGTGGGGGGTGGGGGGGTCACCTGTGGGGCCGTCACCTGCTAACCTGACTCAGATCCATCTTCCCACAGGGGCTGCCTCATGTTCGGGGGCCCCTATGCCTGGGCCAACTTCACCGCCCTGGCCTTGGGCGTTTGGGCCGTCGCTCAGAAGGATTCCATCGACGCTATAAGCATGGTGAGCTGGGGAAGCAGCACTGGGCCAAGCTTCAGGATGATCTGTGGCCCTTGCTCTGTCTTCCCTGCACCTGTTCCAATCTTCTGCCTGTTCCTATCTCCCGTTTTCTAAAGCCGGGCTGCAGCCTGCGTGTATTTGCTAGCCTGGCCTGGGCCTGCTTCTCTGCCTGCCTGGCTCAGAGAGCCCGGAGCGTGCCCATTGTCTTCCCGCAAAAAGGCATGGGGCGTGGTCCCACCAGTGGCCCAGGCTGGCCACGCCCCGAGGGCAGTGGGACGCGTACTCAAGACCCCCCCGCCAATCCCCCACCCCGCCAGGACCCTCTTTTAGGAGGAGACCCGCAAAGAGGGAACTCTACTACTTTGTGAGGTCAAAGTGGATACAGCCCAGTTAAGCTCTCCCTGAAGGGTGGTGGCTGGGGCCTCTCAGGATGACAGAGAAGGGATTTCCTTGGTGGTGGAGACAGAGTGGGTGAACTCAGGTACCTTCCATCTCAGAGGTTCTGGAACCAAGTCTTGTACCTTGTCTTGGCCTCAAGGGTGACAGGAGATGGGCGGGGGCTTGGGTGGGGCTGGCAGGCTGGGCTGGGCCTCAGGTACCCCCGCCCCCGCCCCCGAATCCCTGCTCCACTCTGCAGTCCCGTCGGGCGTCTCATCCACAGGGTCCCGCCTGCTTGCTGGGCCTGTTTTCCAGCAACCCCTGAGGTCACAGTAGGGCTCAAAGGCAGCTTCCGGCCTGGTTACGTGACGGGGGGCAGGACGGGAGGCAATGAACTCTGATGCCACGTGGTCACACCTGGGCTCTGTGCTGGCCTGTCTTGCAGTTTCTGGGTGGCTTGGTGGTCACCATCCTCCTGGACATCATCCACATCAGCATCTTCTACCCGCGGGCCGGCCTCTTGGACGTAGGGCGCTTCGGCGCCGGCATGGCCATCCTCAGCCTGCTCCTCAAGCCCTTCTCCTGCTTCATGCTCTACAACATGTACCTGCAGCGCGGGGGCGAGGGCCCGTTCAGCTCTGTGTATCCAGGTGAGCATGCTACCAGCTCCCCACGTCTCCTCTGTCTCCCCCGCAGCCCCTGCCCCTAATCTGTGCCAGCTCCCGGTCTCCGCCGAAGGGTATTGAAGCCGGCCCTAATGGACCTAATGTGGAACGTGTCCTAGTCCCCATCTCAGGTGTTGGCCTGAATGGCTCTGTGCACACAGCTGTCCCAGCCTGGTGTGACCTTGCCCTGCCATCAGGCTAGAGGCAGAGTTGGAGGCAGCAGCCAGGACTCCCTCTGAGCCCAAACACCGGATCCAGCTGGGGGAGTGATCCGGTTCCACGGGCAGCTCTGGGCAGTCTGCAGCCTGAGACTCGAGGCACCTGCAGGGCCACCCTCTCTTCTCCACTCCCACCAACCCCATCCCTAGAGCCCCCTTCTCCTGTCTCCTGGGGTCTGGGTGGCCGAGGGAGAGATGGTGCCGGCATGAGCCAGGGAGCCTCAGCCGAAGGCAGCACTCACCTGCAGGGCTTACCCTGCCTACCGGCCCTCTCCCTTAGCCAGCCCCGCCCTGCCCTGCTGCACGGCCTCACCTGGTTGTAACCCTCCTCATGGTGGCCGAGCCATTTCCCACACATGTCCTCTGTTCCTCTCTCTCTCTCAGAAGTGGGGAGAGATGGGTGAGGTTTCCTACCGTTCACTCCTGAGATAGGCCGAGAGTGACCGGTGACCTGCCTGGTGGAGCAGTGGGGCCCAGGGTAGGCAGGAGTGGCCTGTGGCCTGCCCTGGGGTGAGGGGAGCCAGTAACATTCCTCCCATTGGACAGATGGGGAAACTGAGGCCCTTGTTCAGGATCATCGGACAGATGAGCAGCGTGGAGACGGGAGTGTGGAGGGTGGGCACTGAGAGCCCTGCCGCCTGCCTCGCACCCCCGGCCCCAGCCTCTGCAGCGGCCAGGCTCTGAGCCTCTGGATAGAGAGAGCAGCGACTTTCAACCCGTGTGCCGCGAGAATTTTTAAAACACGCGGTACCTGGCTATTTAGTCAGGAGCACTGACCTCTCTTCCCTTAGATTGTCAGGGAAAGAAATTATAGCAGCCAACGCAATAGCCATCCAGTGTGAATGAATCAAAGTTATACTTTTTTTTTGGTCAGATTGGCAAAAAATACATGTTTTGGTGTGCCACAGAATTTGAGTGATGTGTGTGTGTGTGTGTGTGTTGTGTGTGTGTGTGCACGCGGTTCACTCCTGAGATAGGCCGAGAGTGACCGGTGACCTGCCTGGTGGAGCAGTGGGGCCCAGGGTAGGCAGGAGTGGCCTGTGGCCTGCCCTGGGGTGAGGGGAGCCAGTAACATTCCTCCCATTGGACAGATGGGGAAACTGAGGCCCTTGTTCAGGATCATCGGACAGATGAGCAGCGTGGAGACGGGAGTGTGGAGGGTGGGCACTGAGAGCCCTGCCGCCTGCCTCGCACCCCCGGCCCCAGCCTCTGCAGCGGCCAGGCTCTGAGCCTCTGGATAGAGAGAGCAGCGACTTTCAACCCGTGTGCCGCGAGAATTTTTAAAACACGCGGTACCTGGCTATTTAGTCAGGAGCACTGACCTCTCTTCCCTTAGATTGTCAGGGAAAGAAATTATAGCAGCCAACGCAATAGCCATCCAGTGTGAATGAATCAAAGTTATACTTTTTTTTTGGTCAGATTGGCAAAAAATACATGTTTTGGTGTGCCACAGAATTTGAGTGATGTGTGTGTGTGTGTGTGTGTGTGCGCGCGCGCCATATGAGCAGGGTGGGAAATCGCTGGGATAGAGGAACACAGCGCTCCCGTTTGCATCCTCGTCCTCAGCTTTGAGCTGTGTAATCTCAGGCAAGTCAGTTCATCTCATTGACCCTCAGTTTCCTCATCTGTAAAGTGGGGACAGTAAAAATGCCTGCTCCGTAGGGATATGGGAGGATTGAATGAACATTGTGGTGAAAGGCTTGGTATCTGGGGCTGTGGCCACTGTCACTGCCCTGGGTGCGCGCCATATGAGCAGGGTGGGAAATTGCTGGGATAGAGGAACACAACGCTCCCGTTTGCATCCTCGTCCTCAGCTTTGAGCTGTGTAATCTCAGGCAAGTCAGTTCATCTCGTTGACCCTCAGTTTCCTCATCTGTAAAGTGGGGACAGTAAAAATGCCTGCTCCGTAGGGATATGGGAGGATTGAATGAACATTGTGGTGAAAGGCTTGGTATCTGGGGCTGTGGCCACTGTCACTGCCCTGGGTGCCAGGATGCCAGCTCTGGCCTGCCTGGTGGGGGTGGAGTGGGTCTTGGTTTGGACTCAGTGGAATGTCCTGAGCCTCACCCCTCATTTTTGCTTCCTCTCCATCTCCCTGCCCTCCTAGGTATTGGAAGCACATCTCAGCGCAGTGCCTACCAGACCATTGACTCACCAGAGGCCCCCACAAACTTTTATGCAGGCGCGGAGGACAAGGGTCACACCTCCCAAGGGTACTGAAGCCAGCCCTGCTGCCCTGGCCGCAGCTCCGGGGCCAGAATCACAAACTGTAGGGGAGGTTGGTCAGCAGGGCCTTCCTTGTGCCCTGGACACTGATCTACGGCTGCCCTTGACCCCCACCTCTCTTGGACCTAATGTGGAACGTGTCCTATTCCCCATCTCAGGTGTTGCCGGAATGGCTCTGTGCACACAGCTGTCCCAGGCTCCCCGAGACTCCCCACCCACTTCCGCAGTTGTCGAGCCCCCCACCCCCCACCCCCGGCAGAAGGAGGTCTGTGGTATAGGGCGAGGTGCTGTGCTTCTCACCACCTGATCACTTGCTCCTGGGAACCCCGGGGCTGGAGGCAGGCGGTGTCGACTAAACTTGAGACCCACGACAGCCCTCAGCTTCCCTTCTCAGAGACATGGCATTAAAGTTTGGGGAATTCTGTAGCTGGATGTGTGTGGAGCCGTGTTTAATACCCCAGCAGGGCTGGCGCCTGGACCTGCCATTCCCAGGAAGGTTTCTGCTGCGAACCCACAGGGTACCCGGACTGAGCGGCCTGTTCTGCTGCGACAGAAGGCAGGGGCTCACGACCAGGGGCCTGTGTTCAGTGTGGCAGGGGGATGTCTGCGTCTCTGAATCAGTGGACTCAGGGGATGGTTTGAGTCTTGCTCTGCCATCTCTTGGCTGTGTGCCCTTTGCCCCTTAGCCTCTCTGGCCTCAGTGTCTCCGGATGGGGACTGACGCCTGCCAGAGGGCGATGATGCAAATGGAATGTGAAGCGCCTGGCCCCGGAGGGGCTCCTGAGATAGAAGCTAAGTTGTTGGTGGGGTTGCTCCTCCAGCCTGGGATGGTGTTGGGTCAGGAGGCGACAGGTGACCGCTTCCTGGCTGACCCTGGGTCTTGGCCTCAGAGCTAACCGGAGCTGATCTGTCCAGAAGCTCTGAGGGTCCTTTGGCCAGGGCCCCGCCCCACTGACTGGGATGGACATTGACTACTGGGCCGGGTGTCTGGCCCATCCTGGCTTGTCCCCAGTACAAAGAGGTCAAGGCCTGGTGCCCAGCCCCAACACTTAATGTCCTCATACTGGAACTTGGTTCACTCACTGCTGTCCTTTCAGCACCTGGGACAGTGCCCGCACCCAGTAAGTGCTTTATGATAGGGGTAGAATGAATGGATGAAGAAAAACTGCAGGACACCAAACACAAACATCGAGATCCCCAAGGCAGCCAGGTAGAAAAGATATCATCCGAAAAGGAATGACAACTACACCAGCAACCGATGACCTGCCAGCAGCCACAATAAACGTCAGAAGACAGGAGTGTTATCATCAAAGTGGTGATAAAAATAACTCCGCCTGAAGTTTGTAATAGTGAGTTAGCGTTCAGGGATGAGGGTGAAATAAAGACATTTAGAGAAATGACAATGAGTTTATCACCAACAGACCTTCAAGACAGAAACGTATGAAGAATCTTTGTGGAAGGACATTTTTCCATAAGGAAGATCTGAGAAGCAAGAAGGAAACAGTAAATGTGGTTTAGTGTTCACGACAATAATAATACAGTTCAGGGGGAGTTGACCAGAAACAGTGTTATAAAGTCTTCGGTTTTTGGTTTGTTTACTTGTTCAGTTGTTGTTGTTGTTGTTTGTCTGGAAGGAGGGTAAATACTGGATTAACTTTAGACTTTGTCAAATTAAATACACAAATTAAAATGTGTTGGATAACCACTGAAAGAATAGAAATAGGATGTGTAAGTTGCAAGACATTTGTAAGGGGGGAAAACATGAGCAAAAAAGACAAGAAAGAAGGAAAAAAAACATGAAGTTTGATCATTAACAGGCACAAAAATGAGATGGTTTGTATATGTCATAATCATGTAATTGTAAATGGTTTTTTTAAAAAAATTCCAGCCATATTGTGTCATAAGAGACCCACCTAAAATATGTGGACACAGCAAGGCTGAAAGTAAAAGGATGCAAACATTAAACCAGGCAAATAACCCCAATAGAGCTGGTGTAGCTGAATTAGTATCAGAACGATTTGACTTTAAGGCAAAAGTTTTACTGGAGACAAAGGAAGAACAAGACCTGAATACCAAAAGGTTCAAGCCAGTGGTTTACGAGGAGTTATTAGATGCATAGACTTATGAAGGAAGTAAGCACACACACACACACATACACACACACACACCCCTTCAAGATCTGCTTTAGAGTTTGAAAGGCTGGCTGGCTGGCATTTGTTAAACATCTGACTCAGGTCAAGACAAAGGGTAGCAGAGTGGGTGTCGACACTCCCCTTTTACAGATAAGGATCCTGAGGTTCAGAGAAGTGAGGGACTTACCTACCGTCACACAGCGGCAGAACCCATCTTGATCGGGTCTTCAGACTCCTGGCCCAGTGCTCCTTCCTCCTCCAGCGCGTGTTTAGAAAGGAGAAACAGCACCATCTAGAGCAGCGGTTCTCAACCTCCCTAATGCCGAGACCCTTTAATACAGTTCCTCATGTCGTGGTGCCCCCCAACCATAAAATTATTTTCGTTGCTCCTTCATAACTGTAATTTTGCTACTGTTATGAATCGTAATGTAAATATCTGATATGCAGAATGTATTTTCATTGTTACAAATTGAACATAAAGCATAGTGAGTAATCACAAAAACAGTATATATGTGTTTTCCGATGGTCTTAGGCGACCCCTGTGAAAGGGTCGTTCGACCCACAGGTTGAGAACCGCTGCTCTAGACGGAGGAAGGAAAGGACAGGGCAGGGTGGCGTGGGGAACCGCAGGGACAAGGGCTTGACCTGGGGAGGGCCTGGAGGGAGGAGTGGGTAGGGCAGATTCCAGCCAGTTTCGGAGGGACCCGAGGGCTAGCAGGCTTACAGGTCTTGCGCGCGCAAGAAGTTTGCACGAGGTCACGTGCTTTGCTGCTCCATGCACAGCGGGGGGATGGGGGGCAGAACCCTGGGGGCGGAGGACCCCTGGCCACGCCCTCGGGCCCACGCATGCGCAGACAACGGCGGCCACGCTCAGG